ATTGCTCAAAATCCAGAACTTCTTTCTTTGCTCCCACCGTCTTAAAATATAAAGTTGACACTTTCAGAGCGATTAGTGAAGTGAAGTGACATGTGACCAAGTATGGTGACCCATACTAGGAATTAGTGCTCTGCATTTATCCCATCCAAAGTGCACACACACAGCAGTGAACACACACACACACCGTGAACACACACCCGGAGCAGTGGGCAGCCATTTTTTGCTGCGGCGCCCGGGGAGCAGTTGGGGGTTTGGTGCCTTGCTCAAGGGCACCTCAGTCATGGTATTGAAGGTGGGAGAGAGCGCTGTACATTCACTCCCCCCACCTACAATCCCTGCCGGTACGAGACTCGAACCCGCAACCTTTGGGTTACGAGTCCGACTCTCTAACCATTAGGCCACGACTTTCCCCATTAGAGCCATTTACTACACGTCTTAAAACAAGAAAATGTAAAACACAGACCATCATCTGCAAAACTTTAGGAGAGGAAATGTTCCCACTCAGCTGCCATAAAGTTTTTCATATGATGCAAAGCATATACTTCCGTCAAGATAATGTGTATTCAATGTGTCATTCATACCCCAATTCTGTCCTTCAAAAAACGTCCACCTGGTACTTTAAAGTTCATCTGTGGCAAAAGAGACTTGAGCTCTTTCAGGGTGATGCTGTGAGAGAGAGAAAAGGAGCAATAACGAGGTGAGACAGAAACAAAAGTGAGACTGGTTGAGAAGAAGGTGAAAGAGAAAGAGGAGAACCTGTTTTTCTTTGTTTGATCAACCGAGTACATCTGCTTCCTCAGCCAACTACAGTAGAGGGAAAAACAGAGAATGAAACAAACACATGATTTGTGTTACGGTTTATGGATACACAAGGTACACAGTGTGTGTGTGTGTGTGTGTGTGTACCTCTCTATAATATCTGGTGTGTGAGCCACCAGTGTCTCTTGTCTGAGTAACTCTAGTCCTGTCAGCCATTTCTCTGCATCCTCCACTGAATCAGCTGTGGAACAGCAAATGCTATCAGCGCTAAAAACAATGCAGCTAGCTTTTTCTCTTCAGATCATTTTAGGAACCCATCATATTCTTCCTTTGTCAGTCATTTTTTAACCAGGCAAAGAATAAAATCTCCATCAACACAGGAAAGCAAAATGCGGTTTCATATCAAAAGAATCTAAAACATATACTGAAAGAGAGGAAGTGCCTCCTTGAATAGTCTATTATAATACTTACAGTACCCTCTAAAAAATGCTGGGTTGTTTCAACCCAACTTTGGGTCAAATATGGACTAACCCAACTTTTGGGTTAAAAATGTAATGTAAAAATGTAACCCAATGGTTGGGTTAGTCCATATTTGACCCAAAGTTGGGTTGAAACAACCCAGCATTTTTTAGAGTCACATGCTACAGTATAATTATCTATCACGCACATCACACATTACAGTATATATATTCATATCTCATAATGAACGTTATGCCAGCTGTGTCTACAAAATGTTATATATTGTTTATTCTATACATTGTGCATATTGCATATTACACTTGGGCATATGGTGGAATGACAATAAAGTGATTTAATTAGAGTTAGAACATGTAATATGTATAAAAAGACACACATACCCCCCAGACTGAGAGTGTTGAGAACAAACTGAGAGCCATAGAATATAGTAAAGCATGAGTTCGGGTCTGTATATTTATCCTTGCTGTCCTTGAATCGATCAAAGTCTTTGGAGTTTTTTCCTGGTCGTACTTCCCGGATCTCAAAAAGGTCCACTGCAAAAATGAGATCGCAACATATAACGTAAACATATACACGTACTCAGATAAACTGAGAGTATTCATCAGCCCGGATTAGTGATGTCATTGTTAACTAAAATTATTACAAATAATTAAATGTTTTGTTATTCTAAATAAAGCTAACTAAAATCAAATAAATTATAAACAGAGGAAAAAGTTCAACAAAAAACTTCAAATGTTGCCTAAGTGGCCACTAACTGAAATAAAATAATAATATAATTTTAGTGCTTCAACAAAATAATTTGAGGCACTAAAATTACTGAAACTAAACTGTAGCTGAACTTAAATAAAAATAAATTTAAGCCAAATAGAAATATGAAAAAACTAATAACAAAATTATTAACTTCAACTAAACTTAAAATGAAAACTGAAAATAGCTCATTCAAAACATATATAATAGTATATAAATAATACTACTATACCTCTGGCCCAGATTTTATAAAAAAAAAAACCTGATAATTCTTCTGGGCAGGTGTTTTGAATTCATAAATTGATGTCACTATATGAATATCTTAAACGTGTGATAAGGTGCATGATGTTGTCATAACCAACAAAAGTAAGAGTATACACAGTATAAAATGCACTAGTCATGTATAAAAGAAACTGTGGAAACATTAGATGGAGAAGAATAGAAAAGTTGCCAAGAAAGTATGTGGGAACTAAAAGAAAAACTGTGAGTGGCACTTTAGAGGGTGAGAAACATGTTGAGATAAGTGTGATGGCACTACAGTCTCCCACAATTACTGGCAACCACCAAATAGTCACACCCAAGAAGTGTTCTCCTACAAGATCATGGTACCATATGTGTTAGAATTGTTGCTGCCCATGGAAACATTAAGACAGCAAAGTAGTTCACTTGATTTTGAGACACAGCCCATGACTACTGTCTGAAATAAGCTCTCTGTTATTGCACAGATCAACCTGAAATGTTAATATATGATGGTCAGTTCATCTCACTATCCCCTGTTATATGTGAGATGATTTTTATAATTTGTTTTATTATTTATTTAACTTTTTATTTATCAAAATTGTTTTTTAAAAAGTCAAAAGTTTTCCACAAAAATATTAAGCATCACAACTTCTGACGGATAAAAATAAGAAATGTTACTTATATTAAAACAGATATTTTAAATCGCAATTTAACATTTCACAATATTTCAGTTTTTTTATTGTATTTTTGTTGCATCAAATCAATGCATTCTTGGTGAGCATAAGAGTCATTTTCAAAAACATAAAAAAAAAAAAAATCTTATCGATCCCAAACTTTTGACCGATAATTTAAATCATTCAAATTTCTGTAGAAACAATAACCTACAAAAATATAAAAAGTAAACCCACTTTAACATGTTTTTCCCTTTAAAATAAACATTGCTTTAAAATATAAATTGAGTATATACAGTACCTTGAAAGCATTGAGTACTGCAAATATTGTCGATAAATTTTGTGATGATCCTCATTTATTGCTTTGGATAAAATCACCCGCTAAATGAATAAATGTTAATGCAAAAGCCACTTGGTTTGATATAATGCAAAGCCACTTCGTATGGCCACATATTTGTAACATTCAAAGTGAACAATCACTTTTAAATAATAAAATACTGTTTTTAATTGCCTAGTTAACTTTAATCCTAAAGTTCCTGTAGCTTAAATGCTAAAGCATGACACCAAAAAACACCAAGGCCATCATACAGATGAAAACAAACAGCTTAAATGCAAACTTTTTTGTGTTCAAAATTAACAAAATTTGTATAATAAGCCAGTACACCATGAATCCATTTTCCAAACCGTGATTTTGCCTTATTCTGAATCACTACGGTACACCTATAATAAGTGTTTATATTCGGACTATTTTAGACTGGTTCGGGTAGGTACCGCTGCGGAGTAGCCCAGTACCTGCGTGATTCGTCATAGACATAAACAGAGAGAAGTAGCTCCGGCTACAATGTTCTTCCGCAAGACGCATGCAGTTCTGTTTATTAACCGCTAGAGCGCCAAAAGTTACGGACTGTAGCTTTAAGTGTAAATGTGAGAAATGAGCTCGAGGGAAGACACTCACACACTCCTTCTGTCTTGTTGGCGGTCCGCGTCCAGGCCACCTGACGTGTCTCCATGATGACCTGCACAGTAAGCCTCTCCATCCTCTGTCTGTACACGGTCATCACTATCCCCATCTCCAAGTCCCGCTTAATGAGACTCTTCTTGTACTCGGTCAGGTCTCCCTGCTGAATGCGGCCCGCCATCACTGCCGTTGGCCGCACACTGACAAATACAAACGTCCACAGGAAGTTACTTATTGCAATCTGTGAGGCAGCAGGTACACTTGTAGTCTCATGACACTTACGTTGTTACTTATTTGACAGGTTCCCTTTATTTACAACCGAATGTTAAAAAATGTCTGTACTTTGAATATCAAAACATGGTGGTCTATTTCATATTCAGATATTCAAGATACTGCATGGATCAAATAAGTCATTAAATAAACAGTTCACCCAGACATGAAACTTCTGTCATTATTTACTCATCTGTTTCAAAATATGTATGACTTTCTGTCTGTGTTTTCATTGTCCATTCAATGTTTTGGACCACAGTGACTTTGATTACATGGACAAAATTGTTGAAACATTCTTTAAAATATTATTTTTGTGTTCTACAGATGAAAGAAAGTCATACAAGTTTGGAACGACATGAGGCTGAGTAATTAAAGACAGAATTTTCATTTTTAGCTAAACTTGCATGGAAGTTATTTTAAGGATTATACAGTAACTGTTCATAGGTAGCAACAACAGAAAGGCAACGTCAGTGCTGTAATTTCCCGACCATGCATGTGACATGCCGGCTCTGATAATAGAAATTATCACCACCTAAAGAGGAATATGACAAGCAGTTATCTGTGACTAAACAGTGCACCTTTTAGAGTCAGTTTTACAAACTGTTGAACCATGGTAAGCAAAATAGATGTTTCATGTCTGGTTCCCCATAGAAGCCAATATTTGCATTGCAAATGAGTAGCTGAGTATGGTGGAAGTGTCCCAAAGCAAGTCCCTCTTTAAACGTAAAATATTAACCCAGTAAACTCAATGTGGTTTCCATTCAGAAACCTTTGTATATCCCCCACACCCTCCATTCTTCCATTTTGAGCTTTCTGTGTGAACGAGACAGAGAAACCACTCTCTTTCCTGACATTTAAACGAGCACCAAGATAAAACTCTCAATAATAAACCAAAAAAATCAATGTAGGTTGACATAAATAAACACGAGATAAGAACAAGCAAAGATCTGTTGCTCTGCAGCGTAAGAAAATGAATCTACCACATCCGCGCTTGTCTTAACTGTAAGTACAATACGTAATTGTTTTCATTAACAATAAGAGGCTGTGGACGCAGGCACACCTGCTCTTGCAGAATTAACTTTTTTTGTAGACCACTGAAACTGTACAGAACAATTTAGCACATTATTTATTGTGCATCTTTTTGCAAATGTAGCTTTGATGTAACAGTTTTCCCCTTAAGAATGAATAGAGACTGACTCCTATAGTTTTATAAAAGTCCTTAAACTTGATCACTGTATTTTTAATAAAAAATGTAAGCCCTTAAATTAAATGTATACATACATAAACAACTACTGTAACACCCCGTTATGTAAATATCCAAATAAATAAAAAATACTTACCCAAGTTTAGAGAAGAAAATCAATGACCACGTCGAAAACCACCTCCTGTAATCGAACTAATTCTCATTTTTAAAAATAAAAAATAGCCTAAAGAATTAGAATTTTAAAAAAATAAATAAAATAAAAATCTATGATCAGTCTAGTCACAATGTGGTCAGTTCCTCTATTCGCTAAACAAGGAAGTGAAGAGAACGTTGTAAGAATTTAAAAAAATCTATGCAAAATCCCCAGGGAAGAGAGGGCGCGTGTGCACTACTCTGTCAAACTTTTGTATCCTAGTGCAAATGTGAAATGTACCAAAAACGCGACATCTTGATGCAAGAAAAGCGTTTATTTCAATGACGGGTGTTCAGGTTGATGAAAGACGCATGTTGCCATTGTCGACGTCATCATGACATTACGTCTTTTTCTCTAGTGTATTGTATTCTGTAACAACCTTTTAATGACTCTGTCAAACTAAATGTTTGACTCTAAATGCAAACTGAATGCCCAAAAGCAGTTTTAACTCTAAAAATATAAGCATATTTAAATAAAGTTTGAGGTGAAATGAAAACGAAAGCACCTGTTTTGGGCAGCTGGGCGCTGGCTGGCAGAGGAAATTTGATCGAAATTATTTGAATGATTGAGTACCCAAAAGTTTGTTATTTCTTTAAACACGCGAATAAGAAAAGGCTTCCGCAGACTATAAAGTAAATTTTGTATTTAAGTCCTGTGCTTTCCTTACCCAGCGCTACTTTTCCAGTGCATTCCACTGTTCATTTGCATTCAGAAAGCATGAAAAGGTCACAGACGAGAAGAGGCAGTTGGGTTTCATCTATAGTGAACAAGTGTACGCGAAAACTACAAAATATTACCATGATAACTTACTGTAAAATATAACTCGCTTCTTCCTGAAAAAGCTCAATTGCTATATACCAAAGGGGTTTCACTAATGATTCATTTATTGATGTTGTAGGCTGATATAGGATTGTTAGTGGTTACATAATATGAATAACTCAAAACACCCTAAGCAGCAAACAATAAAGAGTAATCTGCATATTTTATTGATGCATGCTGGGAACTCATGCAGGCCTACAGCATCTATTAGAGTTACAGTTTCAAGTTCATTGCACAAGATCCTACCACTCTGAATTGAATAAAAATGACTGCACTCTGAAAACGCATAAAATAGAGTAGAAATGGCAGAAATTATTGTGATGAATCAAACAGACGGAAACAAAACACAAAACTGTCCTTTTTATTACAATATTATTTATTATGGTTTTGTAATATTATCATGATGAATCTTTTTAAGACAACTGTTGGAATCTTGACCTTTCTTTTACATTTTCATTATGAGAAATGAATATTTGGGGGAAACAATTCATAAGCAAACAAGTATGTTTTAATTTTTCATTTAATTAATGAATCTTCCAGTTTACAGACAGTAAATGTATCAGTCAAGACAGAATGCAACCATATAATATCCAGATACTTGATGAGAAATGTAGACTTCAGTCACACATTGTCAATAATCAGTGTTTAACAGTATTTGACAGAATGTCTTTGTGTGCACATTTTAATTATTTCACAGAAAGCAGGAAACCAGCTCCTGGATTTTGCATATTAACATAAAAACTACACTGTATAAACACCTCAATAAGTGGTTTATAACAGTGTGGTTTCTTCTATATCTATTCTAGTGTAAAAACACAAACCAAACCAAACACTGAAAATAAATACTGCTGGTTTGATCTACACATTGTCTTCAACTTTTTTTCCCTTCCTCACTATCCCTCATCCTCCTCAGGTTCTCGGAGCCCTTGGCTGTGCAGGGTCTTCCCTGTCATTTCCATCATGGCCTGTACTTCAGGATCTGCATCTAGTATGCTTTTCTTCTTCTCATCCTGAACGTCAACACAAACATTTTTTGAGTCATAATGCTAAACCCAAAAATACAAAATTCACTGTAGTAACACTACTGTCACAGACCTGCTCCTGTTCTTCAGGTGGCTGCCCAACGCCCCACACCTCCACAGTGTCCAGTTTGAAGTCCTCGTCTCCTGAAAGCTGAGAACTGCCATATGTGGTGCAGAGTGGTCGAGCCCTACTGTGGCCGTGTCCAAAATCGCAGTCCAACCACAAACCGAAATAGCCATGCTGACCACCCATACCCTAAAAAGACAGTTAACTAAATTTTGCCTTGCTCCATAGTGTTGTAAAGCCTTAAACACTGTTTAAAGAAATAGTTCACCTAAAAATTTACATTTTCTGAAAATGTACTCACCCTCAGGCCAGCCAAAATGTAGAATTAGTTTCTTCACTGGAACAGATTTGGAGAAACTGAGCATTGCATGGCTGAATGGGTGCCATCAGAATGAGAGTCCAAACAGCTGATAAGAACATCACAATAATCCACAAGTAATTCACACGACTCCGTCCATCAATTTATTTCTTGTGAAGTGAAAAGCTGCATGTTTGAAACAAACAAATCCCACATTAAGATTTTTTAAATGTCAAACCATTGATTTCGGCTAAAATACGAGGGCTCTATCCGTAATATTGCTTCCTCCAGTGAAAAAGTCAACTCGTCTGAATCTGGAGAGAAATATGCACTGCTTACAAGCGAAAAAAGTCCAAAACAGTTCTAAACAAGTATGTCAGTGTATTGTGATGTGAGAAGACAACAGGGGACAGACTTTTTTTTCACTGGAGGAAGTGTTATTATGGACAATAGATTATGGAAAGTTAAAACACCTTGATGGATTTGTTTCTTACAAACTTGCAGATTTTCACTTCGCAAGACATTAATTTGATGGACTGGAGTTGTGTGGATTACTTGTAGATTATTGTGATGCCTTTATCAGATGTTTGAACTCTCATTCTGATGGCACGCATTCACTGCAGAGGATCCATTGGTGAGCAAGTGATGAAATGCTCAATTTCTCCAAGTCTGTTCCAAAAAAGAAACCAACTTGATGGCCTGAGGGTGAGTAAATTTTTGGGTGTACTACTCCTTTAAAATGTATCTCACCAAGCCATTCGGCAAAGTCTGCTGGCCCTGGTTCAAGTACATGTAATGATTGTTATAGCCTGTGCAGGTGAACACTCTCATGTAGGGAAAAACGGAGAAGAGGAAGCACCTGGAATCACCTAGTGCAAAAAGAAGAAGAAACATTAATTGTAATGCATAACACTGTATATAGTTTCTTCTTTCCAAACTCACCCTGGAACTGAGGTTTGACCTCCCAGCTTTGAGACACAAAGCCCCCGAAGATATGCCCCGTAGTATCCTTTACCAACATGACAGTGGGACCTTTACTTTTGCAGTTGCCCACTAGTCGGGTGAAGCTTTCCCCGTGTATGTTTGTGGAGAACAGCAGCCTCCAGCGGGCACTGTGTCCAGCTGGCAGCTGAGGTGACAGGAACATCAGAAGAGGTATATTCAAGAGACAACGGAGGTCACTCCAGGGAGCATACCGACACGGGGGCAACAGAGTTGGGGGAGGACAGGAGGGCAACCCAACTCCTAGACCCTCACCAATCAGGAGTTCCAAAAACATGGCCATTGCTGGGATCCGGAACAGCCAGTCTTCCAGACAAGGAATGTCACACATATTCTGATCTATAGAAGCAACAAGGACTAATTATATTAAATAGATTTCTTGGTGTGCACTATATCTGTTGGTTACAGATTAATTCACATTATTCAAAAATACACTTCATTTTAGACTTACTTTTTCATTCATACTATTCATTTTAATTTAAAACAGCGTTTGTTACTGCTACAAACCTGGAGATTTTAATTCTGAGGTCAACTGTTCTGCCAGAAGCTTAACACCTTGAGGCTCATCACTCATGCGATCTGGTTGCCAAGCTCGCAGATTCCCCCTGTGGGCTAGAGTCTGCACTGCAGCTGAAACCAGGTCTTCCATAAACTATTCAATAATCATTATTATTATTAATCCATATTACGATATCATAGCAGCAAGAATGATTAAGAAAGTGAACTGAGATGCTTCATTGTTTGATAGCGTTTTCTGGGTTTAAATGGTCATCATGAGTGGTTTATCTGATAAAAAAATCAAATATGATGAAAATCTAATAAAAATTAAATTTATATAGAAATATTAAAATGATTAAATATTAATACTACAAAAAAATGACAAAATCACATAACAAAATTACTAAAACTTAAACCAAAAATAAAATGAAAACTGAAAAGAAAAAAAAGAATAATATAATATATAAATAATACTTAACACTGATACTGAAACACTTTATATAATTAGATTTTGTTGATACTTACATCTCTGATCTGCTCGGTTGTGGTAGCAGTAGCCTTTGCACCCTCTGCCATTGCCAAGACCAAAGGTGCACGTTCCTCTGCAGTTCCTCTAAGAATATCTGCCAGGAAAATCACCAGCTGCTCGTGAATTATCCCATCACCAGGGGGCAGTGGCACTCCTGGATCAATGCTGTGCATGCCCTGGAATACTCTCTTTATCATTGATTCTGAGGCCATCTTTCCCATTGTCATCTGAAACAATTAAAAAGAAAACTGAAAAAGCCATATCCATGTATGTTAAGTGAGGGTACAGACATGCAATCCAAAAAAATATAAGTTTGAATGACTTGCATCTGTTCACCAGTCATAACATTTACATTTATGTTTGTTATTAGATAATCTGTAATACTCTTCTGCCTTTTTACAAATAACATCAGGCAACATTTACTGTAAATGTTTATCCAATAACAATACTCAATTATTTATAGTTGTTCCTTTGATGAGAAAGTAATTACTGTATGTGGTAAACTTGGAAATATTTGGGCATTTTCTAAAATCAGTCACCATGTGGTTTTTGAAACATTCAGTTCAAGACAGTGTTATTTTAGTATCATTGAATATTATTATAGTTTTTATTAATATTTTGATTTTATTTTTCATTTTAATTTTATTTAAAGTTTCAGTAATTTTGTTGTATGTTTTTGTCATTTGTATTACTTTTTTAAAAGTCTATAGTTTTATATTTATTTTTGTTTTAACTATAATAACACTGGTTCAAGATTATGTCACACCGGGACACAAAATCGTTAAGAATAGTGCTATGCATTCTTCTCTCAAACTAACAATGACATAGTTATCAACAAACCTAGTAAAATAACTTATCATACAGACTGCAGCAATTTAAGTATAAAGGATCTAGTTCAAAATATTATGATGTCACAGCTGCTCACCTTCAGCATGTCTAGGGATAAAACCTTGTCCGTTTTTCCAGATGAAACAGAGGATCCAGTTCCATGAAGCCTGTCAAATATCCCCTCTATAACAGGTCTCTCATCCGGACGAAAACGAGCCAGTCGTTTCTGCGCTACAACACTTTCGGCGTTCCCCATCACCCTAGGGGTAAACGAATGAATGAAAAAAATAAAGGAACTAAATAATAGAATTTAGTGTCACGGACACAACGGAATACATAAAAGGCATGCCTAGATTCAGCTGCTGACTGAAACTAAAGTGCTCATGGAAAATTTTGAAATACAGTGCACACTTGAATTATGAAAGACTGAAGTGAGATTTTCAGACCTGTCAGCGGTTCAGTTTGACATTTCGACGATGTAAACAAAACACACACACAAAACGATTTCCTGGTTCCGCACTACATCACGCGCAGAGGACCAATGAATGGAGAGAAACTTCAGTGTCAAATCAGTTGGGAAGGATAGCATTCACTTGGGTGCGACGGAGACAGAAAGACAGGCTATCATATGTAATGAATGAATCTCAAAACTTCACGGCAACGCAAATGAATGTACTGCACAGTGCGCATGCGCATCAATCACCCGCCTAGCATGGAGGCTTGTTGAGTTCTGTTCCAGTGCTCAGGGCTGAGATTCTCTACTGCTGTGAGGATTCCTTACTTCTCTCAAGTCAGTGGAAGCTGATCATTAACTGTAAAATGCATTTGAAATATATATTTCAAGTTAATCCTTTTCTTTTGAACTCAAAGAATCATGACAAAAAATAAATAATAAACATATTTCAAAAACATTTTTAAAAATCCTACTGACCCTAAACTTTTGAACAGAAGTGTGATTCATTGTTTTGTGAATTTAGATCAGTTCAATTAAACTACACGTATTATATGATATTATATTATATATCAAAAAGCATATTTTTTTTCCACAGAACGCTTAACATTTAATGAAAAAAAAAAATTCTGACACTATAAAAAATACTTACAAATAAAATTCATAATTGGCTGGTACAAATCTGACTAAACTTTTTTTTTTTTTTTTCCTTTTTTGATTTTGCAGATTAATTTCTACCCTGAATTTGAGGCATTTTCCAGACAATTTAGCACTTCTGCAAAACCTTCATGAAGCTCTGGAACATTCAAGAGGGGGCTGGTTCCACCCCACAGCTGAACATACGGTCGGTGAATGATGGGAGGCTCTTGTTCTAAAGAAGAATGTATTATATTATTTTATAAATGTGTAAAAAAAATATTGCTATTTTCAAATAGCTCCAGAACTTTCAACATCTGTGGTCAACAACATATGAGAGCATTGCAGGTTGGATTGCTGGGAACACTGTTGGTGATGGGGACCCTATTCACCAGCAGGTTAGTGACAATTGGAGCACTGAGCCAGGTTTGGCTGGTTGGAGTGCATCTTGTTAGCACATGACAATGGCAGCACTGTGCCAGAGCATGAATGGTTCACAGGAACATTGAGAAGTGACCTATTCACTCACTCTCAATGGGTGCCCCTTTCTTGTCCCAGTTAAATCCCATCTTCCTGTTCATCCAAAGCCAGACTTAACCAAACTAACCAGTCGTCCCTCATGCCATTTTCGCTAGATTTCCTGTACTCTTAGGCCCAGATGTAAATAAAGATGCTCTGAAACATCGGAAAACTCTGTAATTAGGCAAAACAGCAGATCATTGTGTAAACCCTGCCCTCCAATTAATACTTTTATTCAGCAATTTATCAAAAGTAACAGTAAAGATTTTTACATTATTACAAAAGATTTCCATTTCAAATAAATCCTGTTCTTTTGAACT